AACGAAACACTTTTCATATTTCTAAGCACATATTTTCTGCTTATTTCCATACCAACGCTAAATATAATGAATCTGATTTGATTTTTTTAAGATACCGGTAATTCCATCCTCTTATGATGTCACAGGTTCTTGCAAACACTATTATTTGATTAATTTCATACCCGATAGAACAATAATTCATTTGGAGGAATGGTTTTCAATAGGTATACTGGTAAGTGTTGTTAAATAAAATAATATTTAGAAATGCATCTTTTCTTTATTTAATTATTCATTAATTATTATTCAATCTTTAAAAAAATGTTGACAAGGGCAGTAACTCCTCATGTCTCTTCATTCGCGCATGTGCTTTACTGTTCTTCTAATGTAAAATAGTTTCCCTGATATTCACAATTTAAAACTTTCTTATAAGTAGGAGGTATTCAGGAACATTCAGCATCAAAATTATGCATTTTAACCAGTTTTCACATATTTTTTTATAATGTTGAAATGTTTACAAAAATGTGCGATTTTTTCTTTGACATATACTTCTCTTTATTTATGTCTCTAATCATCAATGATATGGTGACCTATACATTTTTTGTAATCATATCATCGGAAAATTTAAAGTATATTAAATGAAAATAAACGTAGCATTTTTTTTAATGTTAACAAACCCGGTGATCAAGATTTTGAATTCTTAGGAAAAAATAAAATTGAGAAAAACACATTTTTTTTTTTCTTTCCGATGTCAATTTGAGTTGGGATCGAGATTTCAAATTTACGAACTCATACTTCCGGTTTTTAAGATGAATCCACATGGCAGGTAAATAAAGGTAGATCAGCGAAGTCCATAGCAGCAACCTAGCTTCGTTTAGTGAAAAGAAATTCACGATAGGAGTGCCATTCAAAACGTTTCATCCGTTCAGAGGGCAAATAAAATGCTGACGACTTCGTTGCACAGTGACGTGTTGGTGAGATAATTATTTGCATGTCTGTAAATTATTTTCCTCCCACAGGTTTAAAACTACCACTGGTAGCTATTTCCAAAGACAATGTTTAGGTCTCTTTTATAGCTAACAATCCTAGCATAATTCTTCAGAAAAGGATTGCTTATGCATTTGATGTAATGAATAAAACTATGGGAGAAGACAAATAGTTATATGTAAGTCCATTTGAGGAAGAAATAAACAATAGGCTGACTAGTGAATAGCCTTAAAAAAATGTTTTAACTCTTAAAACAAGTACCCGGTATACAAATATATACAGGCATGTAGTATCGCTTTAAATTTGGCAGCCAGAAAATTATTTTACGCTTAATTGAAGAATCTTACCTCCTTTCCCAATACTCCCCGTTTGTTTTATGATAGGAATTATTATTTTAGGTTTCAAGTATATTTTAGAACAATTTCTACACATTCACCTAACACACATTAAAAAGATGAATATATATTAAAAGAGTTAAAAAAAAAATTTTAATTCTGTATTTTGACCAAATTCACAAAATTTGTATCACTGCATGGCCCCAACTGGAACAACAATTAAAGGTTTTACCTTCCTTTGTGTAATATATTCCCTTGTCTCGTTTTTCTTTTTAACTTTTGGTTCAATGCCAGTGACATTATACATATGTCCATCAAAAGCAAAATTAATGAAGACAATTTGCATACTTTTTAAAAATCAGTTGTCACAACTTATTTCTTCTGAATCATAAAATCAAATGTGCGACTATGATATCGTTACTTCATTGTCCCCAACCTGTACATGCTGTAGGTTTAATGTTTTCCATATATATACGAGTTTCTATTCAATATGTAATCGTTATATCAGAAGCACTACATCAATAAGTTAATACAAATATAATCTTAAATTTGAATGATGCATAAATCAAGCATCAATACACATACCGATTACAAAATCATTATGTTATTAGCTCTTCTGAGCCAAAGGCTCAAAGAGCTAATGCTATGGCCATTTGTGCGGTGTGCGTTAACTTTTTAGAATATGGGCCATAACTCAAGAACCCTTTGGCCAATCAGTACCAAATTTGCCACAGGGTATCCTTGGCCTAAGGGCTAATATTTATACTAAAATAAGGGTTGGGACCCTAAAACAAGGGGAGATAATCAGGAAAACAAAACCAAAAGTACTAGTTGCTAAAAAATCTTCTTCTCCAGAACCGCCAGGCAGATTTTCACCAAACTTACACTTACATACAAGGATCAGGATATGTTGAAGATTAAAAATTGTTCAAGGCATGACCCTGGGGCAAAGGGCGTGGTCTCAAGGTCACTTTAAAGTTGACCTAAATTTACAATTAATAAAAATGTTTATATTTTGCTTACTATAAGGACTAGGATCATCAAATCTTGTAAGTTGATGCATCTTAGGACTTCACATCATGTTAACTCAAAAGTAGGTCACGGTGACCTACTTTTTTAATTTTTCGGGCATTTATTTTCAAATTGATTTGAAGGCATATTTTGGACACTTTAAGGCCTATGATCATCAAACTTAGTCAGTTGATGCATTTTGGGTCCTTGAACAACGTCAACTTAAAAGTAGGTCACCGTGACCTACTTTTTGAACTTTATGACTTATCCTTTTTAAAACATTTAATCCCATTATTTCAGGCACTGAAAGGGTAAGAATCATCAAATCTTGTAAGTTGCTGCATCTTCGGACCTTAAAACATATTTATGAAAAAGTAGGTCACTGTGACCTACTTTTAGAATTTTGCAGGCATATGTTTTCAAATTGTTTAAAAGGCATATTTTGATTACCTTCAGACCTACAATCATCAAACTTGGTCAGGAGATGCATCTTGGGACTCTGAAAAATGTCAACCAAAATGTAGGTCAGGGTGACCTACTTTCGACATTTTATGGCTGTATTTAAGAATCTTAGGTATTTATTGGCTTAGAATCATCAAACTTTTTGAGTTGATGCATCTTGTGTTTTCGGAGAGTGACGACCAAAAATTAGGTCACGATGACCTACTTTCGACATTTTATGGCTATATTTAAGTATCTCCGGTACTTATTGGCTTAGAATCATCAAACTTTGTCAGTTGATGCATCTTGGGTTTTCGGAGAGTGACGACCAAAAATTAGGTCACGATGACCTACTTTCGACATTTTAGGGCTATATTTAAGTATCTCCGGTACTTATTGGCTTAGAATCATCAAACTTTGTCAGTTGATGCATCTTGGGATTTCGGAGAATGTCGACCAAAAAGTAGGTCACGGTGACCTACTTTTAACATTTTATGGCTATATTTATGTATCTTAGGTATTTATTGGCTTAGAATCATCAAGCTTTGTGAGTTGCTGCATCTTGTGTTTTTGGAGAGTGACGACCAAAAATAAGGTCACTGTGACCTTCTTTCGACATTTTATGGCTATATTTAAGTATCTCCGGTGCTTATCGGTTTAAAATCATCATACTTTGTCAATTGATGCATCTTGGGTTCTCAGAGAATGTCGACCAAAAAGTAGGTCACGATGATTTACTTTTGAATATCTCAGGTATTTATTGGCTTAGAATTATCAAACTTAGTCAGCAGATGCATCTTGGGACTCTGAAAAATGTCACGGTGACCTACTTTTGACATTTTATGGCTATATTTAAGTATCTCCAGTACTTATTGGCATAGAATCATCAAACTTTGTCAGTTGATGCATCTTGGGTTTTGGAGAATGTCGACCAAAAATTAGGTCACGGTGACCTACTTTCGACATTTTATGGCTATATTTAAGTATCTTAGGTATTTATTGGCTTAGAATAATCAAACTGTGTCAGTTGATGCATTTTGGATTTTCCAAGAATGTAGACCAAGAAGTAGTCCTCATTGGCTAAGAATCATCAAACTTTGTCAGGTGATGCAACTTTGGTCTTAGGATACTTAGGGTTGGAGGCTTCAAATACAAGTGATAGGTTGTACAATTTATCAGAAGAGCGATTCAAGGCCCTTGGGCCTCTTGTATTTAATAAATCTGAAATACCAAAAATTTAATTGAAGCAATCAAGTTTATTCCTAGTTATCAATTTTTGAATCTATTCCATGAAGAAACAGGAGTATGTGAGGTCGTTTAAAAAAAAAAACTCGTGATATCAAATAGTGATGGAACGATTGTCGACAACAATCGATTGTCAATCGTTAGAAGCTCTTCGATGCTACTAATCGATTATAAAATAAATGTCACCGACATTGCTAACAGAAAATAAAATTGTCATACTTTAATTTTATTACCAAATCCAAGTGCAAAGAGCATAAAAGTAGTGATGAATGTTGAAAACATGGAAGGATCCCATGTCTTGTTGATACTTTTACCGCCATGATTAAATATGGGGTTAGACTAATACCAGGAAACGGTAATATTGCAAGTAAAGGAAAACATAATTAGTCTCGTCAATCTTTAAACGTACCAGGTAATTATAATCATAAATACAAGTCTAACTTCTGGATAATTACTTTTAAAACTTGCATTTTTAACTGATTAAAACTAATTTTAAGAAATAAATACGTACATGTATTAAATGAAAGGTGGGACTAATATCAGTAAAATACCCATTGCATGGACTTTATAAAAAAAATAACTTCCCATTCTGTTTCAATAGTCCTATATTGTTTAAAGTAAACAAAATATTATTTTCCAATTTTAAAAAAAGAAATTTCAACATTCTTGAATATTTTATTTAAGTAAATGTTTTTTTTTTGTAAAAGTCTGACAGAAATCTGAATAAGTTTTAACTTTTCTGTATTAATTTCATTAAAGTTCAAAATTTCGATTATAATCAATTATTAATCGAATATGCCCAGCCGATTAACACCGATAATCGATTATGATCTTTTTCAAATTCTCCATCACTAATTTTAAATGTTTTTTGCAATATTAAAACTGATGATAAAATTCTGATTCAGAGATAAACCAGTGCCCTTTATAGTGAATATGTAGCAAATAGTGAAACCGCATATATATAATTCATTAATTCTACCCAGATGAAAACCCAACATAATTCATTTAGTGTTGTTTTAAATTCACTATCACAGCCTTATGATAGCTATAATAAACTGGCATGACCTCTACACTTGTTTCCATCTGTTCTGTGATATATACATGATCTAGTATAGTATTGCCCTCTGTTGTTGCAAAGTGTACTTTCTGTAGAAATCCACTAATCTCGAACATTCTTTGAATCGGTCCATCAAATTGTGCATCTTCATTAAAATCTCCAAGTACAATGCAGTGGGAATACCGTACCTTGAAAAAGTCTACAATCTTTTTTAGACCATCAAGAAAGCATCTGATACTGAGAACACTTGGTCGATATACAACTATGATTACAGTGTTTTCCTCGTAAAGCTCTATAGCCATTCCCTCAATATTTTTTTCAGGTAAATCACAAACTAGAGCGTTTTCCTTTTTCTTCTTGTAAATACCGACACCTCCTCCTTTGGCTGATCTAAGTTTAGCAAAACCATTCATACTTTCATCGTATGACTGCTTTCTTGTGGTGTGGTTGAATTCAAAGTCCTGAATTTCGAAGTCCTTCATACTCTCATTGTCCATCAGCCATGTTTCTGTAAGACATATAAAGTCTGCTTGGAGCAATCTGGTATCACTTTTTAGGTCTAGAATATGTCCCCTTAAACTCTGCACATTAAGCAGGACAATTGTTATGAAACTTCCCTTTTCAGTGCAGCATTGCGGACAAACGTCTTTGGGGATTAATTTTTCCATCTTTAGCAGTGCTGATTTTATGTCTGGATTAGCGTAAATTTTCTTTAGCAATGCATTTTCATCTTTTGTTTCTATGAATAAACCATTTTGTGAAGTGACACGGCTTATTGCAACGTATGCCTGTCCTGGGGCGAAAGTGCGGTCTAAATTTACAACAACTCTATTTATTGTCATGCCTTGAACTTTATGTGCTGTACATGCCCATGCAAGTTTCAAAGGAAACTGGTGACGAACAACATTCTTTGTATTTTTCTCCTTGATGTCTTCTTGTAATCTTTGAATCAATACCTCATTTCCATGGCTTGTCTTTTTTCCTTGCAGTCTTCCAACATCCTCACTATCAAAAATTATTCTAATTCCTTCTACTCTGTTAATTTGCTGAGCTTCTCCATACTCAAAATCTGAAATATGCCCCATTGCACCATTTACAAGTCCATCTTCGACATTGATATTTCTCGTCAGCATTACTCTTGCATTTATTGAAAAAAGTAAAGAAGCAGAGAGCCCATCTGTTCTTGTCCTTATGAAGGGTTTCTCACGTAGAGTCAACTTTCCAGTAGTATTGTCTTTCTGATAATCTTCAGCAGCAATCTCTATCAATTCTCCACAGTTTGATCGCAGCATCTTCAGATTATGTTCATTTGTTTCTTCGTTTGTAGGATATACATGAAGTGCTTCATCTGGTCCTTTCCTAATGCATTCTTTTAACATTGATATTGCCTCTTCCGATAGTGGTTCCTCTATTGTTCGAATCCTCAGTGAATTCAAAACTGAAGCAAATGCAGCGTCGTCGCGTTGTCTCATTATTTCCTCCAACTCAACGATTTTGAAGAAGTCTAACCAGTAATCTACAGGATATTCACCATTTTCTTCGTACAATATTTCCACCTTTCGTTGTTTCACAGGAGGTAGTTGGTAAAAATCTCCAACAGCTATAACTGAAATACCACCAAAGGGTTCCCTGCATTTTTTGATTTGCACCAGGCGTTCGTGAACGTAGTACAAGAGTCGCTTGTAAACCATAGATACTTCATCAATGATTAAAATCTGCAAAGAAGCTAACCTTGACCTCATTGCACTTAAACTTTGTTCTTGCAGAGGTTCGTATGGAATGCGTAGAGCTTTATTTAAGGAAAATGCGTGATGAATTGTGCTTCCCCCAATATTAAAAGCTGCGGTTCCTGTAAAAGCTGTTAGAAGAACAGACAAATCTGAAGGAGACGAAATCGTTTTCTCTAAAAGTCTCGAGGCTTCATACTGAATAGTCTTAATCAGATGGCTTTTTCCTGTCCCTGCACCTCCAGTCACAAAAATATGTAATGGTTCTATTTTCTTCCCAGCCACTTTTTTCAAACACCATTCACGAACCAAGTAGAAAACCTGCTTTTGTTTTTCATTTAAACTTCGCAAAAAAGGAAGGATTTCTTGTCTTGATGTAGAAGTTTCCCTAATATGATATATCACATCCGAACAGTTGTCATGTTCAATTTCATGAGTGACTTCTGGTTCTCTATTTTCTGATTTTTCTGTTCTCCTCTTTTCGTTAAGACATTCTTCGCGATTCTTTTCAGTTTCTGGGCACAGGTTAGCCCAAGCATCTTCAGGTTCGCCATAAATTTCTAAAGTTTCTTGCGCATTTTCAAGGGCATCTTCATTCTTTGAGAATATTACTCTATTTTTTTCAACTACACTTCTGACAGATTGCAACCTGTTTTCACTTCCTATTCTCACAAACCCATTTTCAAAAAATGTCTGATAAAAGTCAAATCCATGCGGTTTCAGTTGATCTTGAGTCCAATACGGAAGGAAAAGTTGCAGTATTGATTGAAAATACTTTTCTGGTGCATTTTCTGGATTGAATCTGGGATATCTTACTACAGCTGGCTTAGCTCTTGTTCTTTTCTGAATGTAACCATGACCTTTCTTTAATTTATAAACGCCTTCTTTTTCTCCATGGGGAATCTGAGATTTTGCAAGAACACGATACTCGGAGCAAAATTCTGCAAGACACATTTCAGGAAAAGGAAGTAAATCTGGACGACTTTCATATCTTTCCACTATATTTGTCATCCAAATGCTGTCATCTTCATCTTCCATATCAATTTCACCATTTTGTACACTTTTTATTTGTGAAAGAGGTTTACTCAGTCGAGTTGGATTTTCACCAACAGGAACAAAAACAACTTTTCTAGAACTCTCTTTCATTTTTAGATTGCAGATTCTGTATACTGCTTCTTGGGCACTTACTTCTCTATGATTGAGATAAGCTGATCCAATTTTCTTCATCGTTTGACGAGCACTTAAGTTTCCTTCTGCAGATTCTACTTGCGTTTGTTTCAACAGCATTCCCATTTCCCGTTCTGACTTTGAAATGTATGAAATTATATACACAATGCAGCTGAATGGATCAAGGATATACTGTATGTCCATATTTGCATCCCAGCATTTCAGAAGGCATGCGTTGTACTGGTTTGTCCACATTTCATCTGGATTTCGTTTCAAGATAGTAGTTAAATTTGCAGATAATACCCTATGTGCTTCTTCATAAATATCTTGAGATAATTGTATATTGGAGAATATTTCCTCTGTTGTTTTGCATCCATTCATATCATCAAGAACTTCATTCCAAACACGTAACAGAATATCTTTTGCTTGAGATTTACTCAACCCTTTGCCATTCTCACAGTCCTCAACATCTTTTTCACATTGCCTTGTAATAAATGTTCTTTCTGATGGTGGTCTTGGAAAGTGAAACCTACAATCTGTTCCCTTTTTCCTACATGATTTTGAGTGACTCTTGCTGTGTTGTTGAACATCTAGAACAATACCTCGAAGCTCTGCATCATCATTTTCACAAGGTAAACCACATGTGATATATCTATCAATGAAATCACAAACAGTTTCCTCATTGTCTTCGTCAAATTTCGGTGCATTCTCAACCCAGTACAAACAGTGCATGTGTGGAGAACCCCTTTGTTGAAATTCTACTCTCACAAAATAATCAATAACATTCCCTATTGGTTTTGATGGTGACAAAATTACATGCCTTTGAAACATATGGAATCTATGTTCAAACATTCTTGCCACAGTTACTGGATTGCTTCTCAAAATTTCACTTTTCTCTGACCAGTCTAAATCAGAAGGGGATCTAGGATCATTATCATGATGCAATATTGATCCAATAATTTCATTCCACCTGAACTCAGCCGCCGAAAATGAACAAAACCAAGTTGGAATTCCTAGTTGTCGAAGCATGGCAAAAAGATCTTTCTGAGTAGCTGACCAATATGCAGGAGTTCCTCGAATAGGTTGCATAAAGCGTAAAGCCTCATTATTCTTAAGGAGATTAGACAGAACATCTGGATTCTGTAACATTTCAGCTGTCATTGCTTTTCCATTATCAAGCTTTGATAAAGACTTTCGGATTGAAATTTGTGTTTTCTCGATTACTTGGTTCAATTCAGACATGTATTGAGAGAAGAAAATGTAATTTGTGTCTTTAGCAAATCTGTTATCTGCATTCATAAGTCTGTTGTTAAAATACCTTGATAGGGTTATCTTTACATCTCGATTTTCATTCCAAGAAAAGTTTCCACTTGGAAATAAATGTGTAAAAGTCTTTGCTTCGTTACCTTCTTCTTGCAACATTCGAATTGGATTTTTCCCTTCACTTGGTGCTATATTGTAAATGTCATCAAAGTAATGATCGAGAACTTCTTGCGCAACATCCACAGGCTGTAAGCATGTATCAGTAACAACCTCTGTACTCTGATCAATCTCACCTTCTTTCATTTCCTCGTCTTCAAATTTCTCTTGGTCTTGGTCAATGGTCTCTTTTGGTAGCAAATCATTTTGGTCACTATTTCCCGCCCAATTGGTATTGATTTCAACATCCTGATACCATTTGTTTTTTTTCTTTAAATAATCAAGAGCCATCTTTATGTGATTTGGATTGACAAATTGGTATTCAAAATATCCCTTGTAAGCTAGTTTGCGTTTCAGTTTAACTCTTAATAAGAGATTGTCATCGTAACTTCTTGGTAAACTTGTTGCCTTTTTTATATTTGATGGCACACAAACAACAGGCCCATGTACATTTCTTTGACCACCTTGTGGAAGAGCCATCACTTTCATAAAAGGGATATGTAGAGCAATTAAATGTTGCTCCAAACTGTTTAAATTGGCTAGATCATTAGGAATTTCCTCCAGTGACATTTTATTTACAGCTGCCTCTGCTGGAAGATTACCACTTAATATTTTCCTATGACAAGTAAAACATATCCACAATGATGACTGTGGGCAATGCTTTGGACAAGACAATGTACACTCATGACAGTATTTCTCCTGTATACATGCCTTTGCAAGTTCATGTGCTTGATGTCTTTCTTTGTACATTTCAAGAGTGCATCCTTGAACTTGGTGTTCAAACAATAAACGATGACAACAGCAACATGTGTATTCTGGACCATTTCTTACACTTTCCCTAAAAAATGTCAAAACTTCTTCTTCATCTTCAAGCTTTACTCTCAGTTTTTGTCTCTGATTAAAAACTGCCTCTTTCTTCTTCTTTTTGTCATCAGCACTGAAATGATATTTCATTTTATTAGCAGTCTTTACCTTCTGTTTATGTTCTTCATCATTCTTGTACTTCTCTGTACTTCGTTGCCTAACATCCATTCTGTGCAGTTCATCATTCTTGTACTTCTCTGTACTTCGTTGCTTAACATCCATTCGGTGTACTTCATCATTCTTGTACTTCTCTTTACTTCTTTGCCTAACATCCATTTGGTGTACTTCATCATTCTTGTACTTCTCTGTACTTCGTTGCCTAACATCCATTCTGTGCAGTTCATCATTCTTGTATTTCTCTGTACTTCTCTCTTTTACACTCTCTCTATGCACTTCATTTGAACTATATTTCTCAATGCTTCTTTTCTTCATATATTGATTATGACATTCATCAGTTTTATACTTTCTTTTGTTTGCCTCCTTCAGTTTCAACTTGTGTTCTGTATCCAAAGAGTATTTTTCCACACTCCTTTCTTTTGCTTTTGCTTGGTAAATTTCATCACATCTATATCTATCTTTTCCATCTGCTATTGCCTTTAATCTAAATTTCAAATCAGTCTTGTACTTAAGTCTCTTTGATCTTAATTTCTTTTCCTTACAATTTACATTCTTTAGTTTCAATTCATGATCTTTGGTTAAATTTTTTGTTGAAGAACTGACACGTACATTCCTCATGCGGTTTCGATTTCTGCATCTTTTCCTGTATCTCTCATTACCAGTGCGTGTTTTTACGGAACCAATTGTTTCATTCTCAGCAACTGTCAGCACTACATTATAATGATTCAGATTCTCATGATCTAGATAAATGGATCCTATGGACTGAGTATTTGTAGAAGGTTCCATCAATCGTCTTGAGTATGTAATCCAATGATTTTCTGTATATGTGTGTATATCAATACTCAATAGATGACAAACAGCCATTATTTCTAGTTCAGTTGCCCATGAACCATCATTTGACATCTTTGTTCGAGAAAAATGATTTTCTACAGAACTTTCTGCATGTCTAACAAAAGGTTTGAACAATATACTATTGTGGAGAAGGTGTTGACACACTGCTGATCGAATTGCTAAGTGATAATTCTCCACTCCAGTCAAACAAAATGAAATAGCCCTGAAGAAACAATTACCATCCCTTTGAATTTCAACACACTCAAGCGGTGCACCCACTTCTTGAACATGACAATATTGTACATCATTATCAATTGTATTTGTATGTGGAATTCCCATTATCTGACAAAGTTGTTCTTTCATACCTTGAGATATTGGACAAAATCTAATGTTTTGACTTTCACTGTAAACAAACTCAACATCATCATCCTCAACTGACTCAGTATGTACAATAGAGATGTTTGCATTTTCTTGGAATGTCAAATTTTGCTCTTCATTTTTCTCTATGATTTCTAGGCGCTCAGTTTTATCAGTAGATGCAAAGTGCCTCACTGAACAATCCACACTTGTTATTTCACAATCAGTAATTCCAGAAAATCCCATTGACAATGCTAATGACAGTATGTGATTGTAAATGTTGTAAACTGATTGATATAGTATCCTTGTACTCTTTCCATTTAAACTCATACACCCTGATGATGATCTTGAATGTGAATCAAATGTAAAATAACCATCTTCTGTTTTTCCCACCAAAAATGTATTTCCCCTGAAACACACAAAACACCCACTTGAATCTCCAAGAGCAATCTCCAGTGCATCTAACAGTGAATGCGCATTAAATTCCTCATAATTTGGCTCTACATCAGACAAATTTATCAGACTGCATAAAGGTTCATGTGCTTTGAACTCAAACATTGTATCAAAACACTCAAAAAATTGTGGCAACTCATCAACTAAAAGATATCTACTAACAATGGTTGAACTACGCTGCAAGTATGTGTAAAGCTCATCGCCTGTTGTTAACACTTTATTCATATCTGAAGTTTGCCATTGTTTTGAGTTTTTAATTTTATGATATGCTAATGCTGCTAAGGAGTTGGCAACACATTGTGTTCCTGCATTTTCACCAAACATCAAGTTACCCTGATGAAAAGAACCTTGAACTGATACCTTGATAGATGTTTCTGGTCTGCTATCACCAATGCAATCATTAGCTGGTCCACCATCACAAGGTCTTGGAATTCTACATTCTGATTTACTGTTCTCATATACATTGTACAAATTCTCATTTTCATCATGTAAATTCCTTTTAGTATTCCTTTTAGATCTCGTTCTTTTACTCTGGTTTGCATCAATCAATATCCTGCTGGACTCATCCCCCTTAGAGGATGACATATCCAGCTGCGCCTGACCTGCTGAGCCAGACACGTGCACGGTGTCCGGCTCAGGTACCCTCGGCGAGGTACAAACCCACGGTGGGGAGTCAGGGGACGGTGCCATGCCTCCGTTTCGGGCACACAGACGACTTCCCTGAGAAGATGCGTTACTCAGGGCAGTTGGTTGCATTTTCTCACGAAGAGAGGCCTGCAACCTGGCCAAGGGTTTTTCCTCAATAGGCGGCAACCCTATAAAGCCTTGCCCCGGAAAATTACCGGGTGGAGCTGTAACAGCCCCATCTACTGTCCAGCAAGAGACATCAGCTTCTGCTTCTGTATCATCTGGTGGGACATCTGACAAGGGAAGGGCCTGCTTCTGCCTCTTCTCCCTCTTACGAATCTTGTCTTTAAGACGATTCTGTCTACCACTCAAAGCCTTTTTCCTTGGCATCTACAAAAATAAAACAGAACATTTTCCATATCAAATGAAACAGTAACTAATATTTTCCTAAAACTACAAGAGGCCCATGGGCCACATCGCTCACCTGAGCATTGTGGCAAGGAAAAAGTAGAAATTGGTTTATCACTGAAAAGTTTAAATCCAAAAGAAGTCCCATGACAAATCATGGCTTTGCTATTCTTGAGAAGATGATTTTTTAAGAATTTTCCTTTATATGTCTGTGTAAAACTCTGATCGCCCATTGTGGCCCCACCCTACCCCAGGGGTCATGACTTGAACAAACTTGAATGTACACAACCTGTGAATGCCTCCATATAAATATAAGTAATAATGGCTTTGCAATTCTTGAAAAAAGATTTTTAAATAATTGTATTTCTATAAAAACTTTGATCTGTTATTGTGCCCCGCCCTACCCCTGGGGGTCATGATTTGAACAAACTTGAATCTACACAACTTGAGTATGCTTCTATATAAATATGATCAAATATGGTTTCTCTATTCTCTAGAAGAAGATTTTTAAAGAATTTTCCTATATATATTTATGTAAAACTTTGGTTGGCCATTGTGGCCCAACCCTACCCCCGGGGGTCATGATTTGAACAAACACAATTCTACACTGCCTGAGGATGTTTCCCCATAAGTTTCATATACAAAATGTAAAAACTTTGGTCCTATACAAAATGTAAAAACTTTGGTTGGCCATTTTGGCTCCCCTCTACCCCCGGGGGTCAATTGATTTCAACAAACTTGAATCTACACTACTTGAGGATGGTTCCCTACAGTGGCCCTGTCCTACCCCAGGGGTCATGATTTGCACAATTTAGAATCTACACTACCCCAAGATGCTTCCACATTCCACATAGGTTTCAGCTTTTCTGACCCAGTGGTTCTTAAGAAGATTTTTAAAGATTTTTCCTATGAATTACTATGTTAAACTTTGACACCCTAATGTGGCTCCAAAGGGGTTATAATTTGAACAATTTAGAATCTACACTACCTAAAGATGCTTCCAAATAAGTTTCAGCTTTTCTGGCCCAGTGGTTCCTGAGAAGAAGATTTTTAACAATTTTTCTTATATATTTCTATTTAAAAGTTTGATTCCCCATTGCGGCCCCGCCCAACCCCCAGGGGTTTTGAACAATTTAGAATCTTCACTACCCAAAGTTTCAGCTTTTCTGGCCCAGTGGTTCTTGAGATTTTTTAATGACCCCACCCTATTTTTGTCTGTTCTTGATTATCTCCCCTTGGGAGGGGACTTGGCCCTTCATTTCTCTAATTTAAACTCCCCTTCAACCAAGGATGCTTTGTTTCAAGTTTAGTTAAAATTAGCCCAGTGGTTCTTGAGAAGTAGTCAAAAATGTGAAAAGTTTACAGACAGACAGACGGATGACGTTCAAAATGTGATCAGAAAAGCTCACTTGAGCCGTCCGCTCACTTGAGCTAAAAACCATGCAAAAGCCAGGAAAATCACAATTTTGAAAGAGGCACCATTGTTTATCATAATTATACAATTAGCATGCTTACTTTGGTTACTTAATACCCAGGGGTAGATCAGAGTACATATAACAATATACATTTCCAATTCATAACCACCAGTTAAATGTGCACCACACCCCCACAGGAACCACTGACCCTGAGGCCACATATTTCAGAATTTTCGAAAATTTATCATAAATTTTATTTCATCCTAAATAGTTGATTAATACCAAGATCAGATTTCAAAGCATAAATTTACTTTCAGATTAAACATCAGGGTCTGTGAATTTAACCATTCTAAAACAGGCACCTTTCTTCATCATTAATATTTACTTAGATCAGTGGCATAATACCAAGGGCAAAGGAAAAGATTTTCAAAGAATTTATGCATTTTCACTATATAATCATTAGCAACCTGCCATAACACCCAGAACTCCTAACCGAGGGGCCCTGAAATTTAAAAATTGGGAAGAAGCATCCTTACTCACCATAACTATGTACATAGGTCATTGATTTAATACCCAGGGGCAGAGATTTTTTTTTAAACAAGAAATCTGTGAGCGAATGCTCACTAGTAATCATGGTAATACCCCAGCTCTGAAATGAATGTACACTTTTATGTGAATAATTATACTACAGTTAGGGAAATGTAACTTTTTAAGTATTTATTTTCATTTAAGGTTATGCATGGTACAGACAGACGAACAGATTAACAGGAAGTTGACATTTGAACAATAAAGTGCCACGCCACAGCATGATACGCCCGTCAAAATATTACACAATTATCTTTAAAAGTTTAGACTGCAAGAAAATCACTTCAACCTTGATTCTAAGATTTCCATGATTTTTCCATTTTTAAAAAAAAAATTTCTTTATCCATCCCCTGTGCTGTAGGCATAATTATAACAAATATTACATAACTGACAGATTTCTATACTGTTTGTGTTAAACTTTGTCAAATGCCGGCCATCATAATAAACAATATCAAATTAGTCTTAACAACTTAATCTATGCCAAATTAATTTTGAAAAGAAAGGCTGGCCATCAAATGACATTTGCTATGACCAGCAGTTCTTCTGTCTAATCCCCAAAGACAGATTTGATCAGATAGCCTTCCTACATTGAACTCATTAATTAATCTTTGACAGGATGCTTGTCTACTCATTACTCCCTAAATATTAATGGATCTGCACTTTTTATCCTAAAACACTTTTAAAACATATAAAATACTCCATGATTTCTTTTTAGATTTAATGCCAGACAGGTTTTATATTTAATTCAAATGGTCAAGTAGGCATGCTGATTCAACCCCACCCCATAAAATTAGTTTTTAATTAATTAATATTATATAATATCAGATTATTAGTTTATTATGCAATATCAAATAAGTTTTAATTACTTATTATCAAATTCATTTTAAAACTTAGCTAGCCACCAAGAGCTATTTTTAATCTAACAGCTAGGCTGGCTGTCCATTTGCCTAATACCCAAGGGATAACACCAAACCTCCTCACACTAAACTCATTAATTTCTCTCTAATTTGACATGCAACTTTCTGCTATCAAAATTCTTCCTGACCAGTGCTTGATAATTATGCCCATGGGACAAATGAATTCCTCTCATTAACACTGAAATTTGTTTAAGATTGCTGTAAAGTATATGATGAAAAAATAAGTTTTTACTTGATTTAATACTTTTTAATAAGGATACAACTCTATTTTTCACATTTTTAGGATTACAAAATTTAAAATTGAAAAAACTTAAATTTTTAAAAAAATTCACTAAAATTAAAGGTCACAGTGACCTTGAAATAGGTCGTGACACACCTTCTACCTAAGATGTATACTTTTGCCAAGTTTGACAGCTCTAGGTCTAATAGTTTTCTAGTTATGAGCCGGACAGGATTTTTCCATATTTGGCCGTAGCATCGTTATTAAAGGTCAGAGCGACCTACTTTTGGTGCGCGACACACCGTCTACCCAAGAAGTATTAGTTGACAAAGTTTGATAATCCTAGGCCTAATAGTATTGAAGTTATGAGCCGGACATGAATGGACAGACGGACGGACGGACAGACGGACATGAAGCCTATAACATAATACGTCCCGTCTTAAGACGGGCGTATAAAAATGAATCCAACCATATGGCATACCTCAGCAAATAATGTGTTAAAATTTGAACCATTTGCAATGAGTAGTTGCTGAGAAAACTGCAATGAAAATTTGTTAGGCATGGTACAGACAGATGCATGTATAAACAGGAAGTTGACATCGGATTCAAACAAAATGATTCCTACCATATGGGATGCCTCAGCAAAGAATGTGTAAAAATTTGCAGCATCTGCTATAGTAGTTACTGAGAAAACTGAAACGAAAATTTGTTACGGAGAGACAGACGGACAGCTAGACAGACTGAAAGACACACAACGGTAAAACAGTATACCCCCCTCTCCTTCGGAGCGGGGGTATAATTATGCATTTTCGCTACATATATAATAGAGCCCCACCCAACACCAGAACCTCTGACCCTGGGTACATTAAATTGTTAATTTTGAAAGAGGCAGCCTTTTTCAACATAACCATGTACTTGGTTTGTTTAATATCCATAGTAGCCTACCCTAGCCCTGAAAGTCTTGATTTGTACAAGCTTGAATCTAAACTACTTGAGGATACATTTGCATAAATATGACCAACCATGGCTTTGCTGTTCTTGAGAAGATGACTTTTGAAGATTATTACTATATACATGTACTCCAATGTTAAACTTTGATTGTCCATTTATGATTATGGTCCCACCCTACCCATGAGGATTATGATTTGAACAAACTTGAATCTTCACCACCTGTGGATGCTTCTAAATGAGTTTCATCTTTTCTCGCCCATCGGTTTTCAATGATGCCAATAATTTTGGCTATTTTGTAATTATCTCCCCTTGGAGGAAGGCTTGACGCTTCATTTGAACAACTTAAATTCCCTTCACCCAAGGATACGCTGTGCTAAGTTTAGTTGAAATTGGCCCAGTATTCAGGAGAAGACGAGGAAATGTTAAAAGTTTACAACAATGACAACTTATGATTACATGTACCTATTTAAATGTTATACAGACTGTTTGTTCAGACACCATTAACCTAAAATTACCTCACATAGGGATGTTTCCAAATTAATTTTATTTGAGACATTCTCTTCTGGCCCTGATATTCTTGAGGCTATTTTTAAAGATTTCACTTAATTTTCATGCATTGATTATTTCCCCTTCAAAGAAGGTGTAGCATTTCCTATGGATAAACTGAAATCCCCTTTACTCAAGGGTGCTTTGTGGAAAGTTTTCTTAAAATTGACACAACGGTTCTTGACAATTTGTGAATAGTTTACAAATTCACAACAAACAGATGTCTTCTTCAACCACACAAGTTTAATCTAACCTTTAGCTCAGGTGAGCTAACAATATACAGGGATTTCCTTTGCTACCTATATGCTTTATTTACATTCTATCATTAATTCATAATAAGAATTATCT